ACCCGTTTTACCCGACCTGTTTTGGGGCGGGACAAGGCGGAATTGGTACCTCTCATCGATTGAGCCTCCATTTAATTTTTAATCCTCCTTTTGCACCTCCATTTATTGAACTCCATCTATTCGCCATGGATTGATATCGGAGTTGAAATCTTTTACTTGCCCAGTTTAAATCCCCAAGAATAAAATGGTAATTGGAACCTTGACATAATTAAGGTACAAAAATGATCATCTATCATATCCATTTTTGTTATCATCAATATTTTTGGTCTAAACTCTCTAGGTCAACAGGCCGAGTCTATTGCTAGTTTAGAAAATAGTTATGTGAGGGTAGGAGAAGAGCAGGGGAGTGTAGTAGGCTACCAATTTTCATTTTGGCCCAAATTATTAGTGTAAATTTGAGTTAGGAGATATGTTAGATTCTCGTGGCACCAAAACAAATCAAAAGAATATAAGATAGCGAAGTTTTGCTGAATTTTTAGCATATAAAAATCTCTATATTCCCCTTAGTTTCCTGAAAGGGTAGATTAGTCCATTTTTCTCTATTAATTCCTTCATTTCCCGACCAAATATTACATAGGCAGGCTACAACTCAACTTTGTCCTCGACCCAACTTTAAAAGCCGGAACTTTTCGACCAATTGAGAAATTGTTGTCATTCTTATTCCTAAATTCAAGATCCAAATTTAAAGCCCAAATTTCTTTAATTCTCCATGTCCCATACACCCAAAAAGTATTTCCATACTTACCTATTTGGATTCTACATTGCTCAATAAAGTATTCCCCAATCTTATTCCTAAGTTGTACCTAATTTAATATTGGGCATATTTTGATACCATACTAAATTTTGATTTAGGTTTCAATTTGGCATTCATACGTGACAGAATAATCCATATGGACACAAGACTTTTGTTTATGTTTATGAAAATTAAGAACTATGGGATTAAGTTATATCACGTGAGGTTATATTTAAAATAAGAGATTAAGTTTTTTAAATGGTTATAAATTGAGAAATAAGTGTGTTTTAAATGTATGAGCTAGATACTTTTTAATCTATTCTAACCTTGTTCTCAACCGATAAAAAATTTCTAAAGATTTTAGGTGATTATTTAAAAACATGTGTAAATAACTTTTATGCACCCGAGCTTCAAGCTACTTGTAACTGCCATTTTTTGGTTTCTCATATTTATGATAGTGTCAACTGTCGATCACTAAGATTTGTTTATCCCTACGATTATTAGATTTAGAATTAATTAAATACTTATATTTTCATATATATAGTAAGCATGTTGAGATATAGAGTTCTCTTACCTTAAATCATATGTCCAAGGAGAATCAAATACAAAATAAAATTTGACTATGATCACAAATCTTTACCAAATATAGTAAATTTTTAAGACTGAGTTGATTATCATGATCATAAAACTTATTCACCGATCAAGTCATTTGAAATTCTTATTATATTGAATATTAATACATGAAATTGATAAATCTTAAATCTTAAATTTGCAATAAAATTTTTAAAATGAAATAATTCATTAAATATATTCAGGTCAACCGAGCAATGCTAGAAGCTAGATGAGGAAATCAGAGCTAGAATAGAGTAGCATTAGAAGCTAGATGCGGAAACCAGGTTTAGAACGTAGCAACGTTAGTAGCTAGATGTGGAAGTTAGTAGAACCGAGGCAAGTTCTCGTCTAATTCAGCGCTCGAGATCTGGTATGCTGATACTTACATATTGTCTACCGTTACTGTCACATAAATTTCCGTCTAACTTATCTTCGCGACTCTCTCTTAATTGCAAAGTGTGTCTATCTATATGCTTAGATCCATAAGAGGCGCCCGATAGAGGATTAGAATAGTGTTAGATTGATTAGAATTTGGATTTGGCTTGAGAAATCTCGATCTCAATTGTTGTATCTCATCGTTCGTGGCCAAATCAAAGTTGACGTTAGCTTGAAGGGAGGTGGTGTTTTTTGGTTGCCAGGGAATCTTGAACAAGGTTCTTCCTCTAGCCATGGCGATGGCAGAAAGCCTATAACATGAAGTATTGGGTCCGAGGAAGATTCTGCTACAAAGAGGACAAAGGAGCAATTGTTCGACATCTTTGCCATGTAGAAAGAAATTGAGGCCAAAGACGGGAAAAAGAAAGAAGTATGGAACATTGTTAGTCGGGAGGAAGAAATTGAGGCGAAGAATCACATAAAGAAGGGTCTACACACGACTCGAGGTATGAAAAAGTAGTTTATCGCCGCCATGGACAAGTCTCTCAAGCAACTAGAGCAGGTGTTGTTGCAACTGCTAGATCCTCCAGTCAAGCTTCTGGAGTAGCACTCACTACATCAGCTAAGCTCCCGATGGTGTAGAATGTAGCAGCTTAACGGCCTGTTGGTGAGAGGATGAGGGCAGCAGCCAAAGAGCCTACTTACGACCTACCATTTAAGAAGATACCACTTAACTGAGCATCACTAGATGAAGGGTATCGACTACAGACATTACATGGAAGTCTCTCAGTCTTGTAATACTGCACTCAACTTTAAATCTTAATTGAGTATCTTTGTTTGAAAGGTATTGGGAACATTCTATTTTGTGATGAATACTTTGTGTTTCTGCTACAGACATGAATTGAATGAATGGAAGTGTCTTATCTCTTTCATGGCACTGCACTTCGCTTTAAATTGCTTGGATGGATTGTGGTTTCCCTGCGTTAAATTGAAAACATAGTACTTGCTTTGTGTGATGTGGGACGATGAAAGGAAATCTGGTCGAACCAGGTAATGATCCGAAACTACCTCACATCGTGGACTGGACCGCATTGGGAAGCCCAAATACGTAAATGTGACGAGGTAAAATACTAGGGCATTAACTAAATGATTCTGTCGCAAAAAAAAAAGAAGAAGATTTAAACTAGTTTTTTTGTATTCGCATCAAATCCATTTTTCTGATTTTGAAACTCAACTAGACTTATTTCTATATTTTTTGTGTTTTATGGGGGTTGTTTGGATGAATTACTCGTGTTCTTATCTCATCATCTCTCTTAAATGATGTAATTGAACCCCTTTGTTAGTTTAGTTGGATACTTGAGATTATAGAGTTGTTATGGAATAGCTCTCATCATTATATATTTTGAAAATCAGAGCCAAGTATTGAGAATGATATGATTTGTTATGGCTGATTTGAGTTACTACTAGCAGGCTGAATCTATTTGGCTTTTGTTATGTGTCGTTGAGAATAATTAGAAACTGTAGCAACAAGATTTGGCATTAGGAATCTCTGAATTTGACGTTCTTTTTCACGATATTAGAATATGTCATGCTTAAATAACAATATTATCCCGTCATTGTTGCCTTTGGTTTGTTTCCAAGGTGGAATCACTATGAAAATTTCTTTTGTGTTTGTGGATGATGATGAGATAACTCAGGTTTTGAACCTTGTTATTGGAAGGCATGATAATAATTTTCATGGCATATAGCATATAATAGTTATGCTTGCTCATTTGTTTTTTCAGTTGTTGCAGATTTGCTGCTGTTGGAAGGTTCAAGTGTTGAGAGCATATTGTTGGTGCTCCAACTTTTGTGATCTTTCTGCTATGCCTGCTTTTCTCTCTCTCTCTCTCTCTCTCTTTTGGTTATTTTGTCAAAGGATCCTGCTACAAATTAATGACTTGTTCTGTGTTGTTTGTTTCAATATGAGATGTATAGTATAAGGGAGGTTGATGAGATTTGTAGTAAACTCATCTTCCATTCTTAGATTTTAATACATTTTTTCCTTTCCAATCACTTGTTACGAGCTTTGCTTTGTTTTCTACTTGCCATTCACCCATCTAAAAAGCAATAAATAAGTTTGTTTGAGCTACACTGAAGTTGAGGGGGGCGTCGCCCACCTCCCCCACGAAAGGTTGCTTGGTCCCAATGAATTGGATAAAAGTACAAAAAATATGAAAGAAGTCTAAATTGTATTATTAAGTCTTCTGTAGTCTATTGGCATACATGGTGGTTTCAGGTACGAATGCCAATATCGACAATTTCATATTTGTAATATCAATCTCAACCGGCAAGCTCCACTCAACATACCAGCTAGGGATGGACATTGGGTGCGTTGGGCATGTTTTGAGCAAAAAATCATCCACACTCGCCCCAAATATTAGTGTTGCGTAGATTTGATGCGGGTTATGGGTGGATGAATGCAGTTTTGATAAATTTGAACACATATGAATAACCAAACATGAAACAAAATTAATCCAATACAAAACATTCATATGAGAATACCCATTGTTTGTTTGTTTTTGGTCCTCGTCCATTGTACCAAATACCCTATAGTCTCTCCACGCATGTTGTGGCCAAACCCTTCCTCCCGGCTCCCACCCTCTTTTCCACTCTTTTTTCCCTCCCACATTATGTGTGGTCTTAGAGGTTGACCAAATCTAGAGGTGGCAATTAATAATCCAACTAATACAATCCATTTTATTCAAATTTAATTGTAATGATGGATTCATGGATCAGACTCATGAATCGTTGACAAATTACAGTTTAATATCTATATTTTTTAAACTTTACAATTGGTACCTAAATTTTTTATACTAAACATGTAATTGGAAAATTATGTTGTGGTACCTAAATTTATTATTTGACATTTTAATACATAAAATTTACATATTGGTTCAATACTTGAATGTCATTTGGATTTATAAATCAATCCACCAATAAATTTAATCCAATACATAAATCTACCAATTTATTTAATCCATGAATTTTTCAAAATCCAATTCACTAATTTATATATTCAATCCATTTCCCACCTCTAACCATCTCTGTCTCAGGATGCAAAAGAAAGCTCTATCGAGAGCAAAGGAAAAAACCTATTTTTTATTAAGTACCATTATTGGGCTAAGTGATTCGTCAAAATTCCCGTGAATGAAGCAAGCCCAGCCCATATCTCTGGTTCTGGAGACGGGCAAGGACCCTTAAATCGGAGCCAATCTTCTGGTTCTGGTTTGCCTTTCCGGTTTAGTTCTGGCTGGTTTTTTCGGTTCGGTGGTTTATGCTAACCGAACAGCCAGGCGCACGAGTGAGTAACCGTTTTGCTTAGACAAAGCTGCTGTAAACTCAGTGAGCAGAGACCAACCAACCTCCTATTACCTTTTCCCCCCATCGCCGATCTTAAGCTTAGCTCTCTTCCTTGGCCGTGCCTGGCGCCGTCGCCGGTGCTCGGATTTTTCTGATGTTCGATTCCCGAACCGCAAAATTAGAACTGCTCTTTGCTCCGGGAGGGATCGGAGAAGTGGAACTTCCGTGCTTCAATTGAGAGTTCGAATCGAAAATCAAATCGGAGAGAGCAGAGCGACGACGGTTGGAAGAAGATGCTCGGCGGTAGTGCGAGCAAAGGGGCAGGAAGCAGAGGATCCAGCTCGGGTTATGGATCTAGGATCCCGACTCTATTGTTCTCGATGTTTGCTACTTTCGCTTCCATTTACGTCGCCGGCCGGTAACGCCCCGATGATGCACACATTCTCTCTTCCCTCTCTCATTCAATAGCAATCTGCAATTTCATTTTACTCTTGTGAGTAATGGAGATATTTTGGTGGTTGATTGTTCTCTCAATTGGTTGGTTGGTGGATGTTAGGTTATGGCAGGATTCGCAGCATAGGGTTTATTTGATTAAAGAGCTCGACCGGATTACTGGGCAGGTTAGGCAATTCTGGTTTCTTACTGCTGCTAGAAATTTTTCATTTCCTCTGCTGCTGATAAGATACTTGAATGTTGTTAAGTGGTAGATAGTGAAAGTAGTTGAGGATTGTTGCCATAAACCTGACCTGGAAAGATCACAAAATTCATGTAGATTACTAATTACAAACAATTACTGGGTTCTGATTTCAGGGCCAATCTGCCATATCAGTAGAAGATACATTGAAGATCATTGCTTGCAGGTTGTTCTGTTCTTTGATTTTGTTTCAAAACCATCCCCCTTTTGATCTTAGCCTTGTCTTCATGTGTTTGTTGATTCTTCAAAAAAATGACTTCCTGCATGCTAGGGAACAGCAGAAGAAGTTATCAGCTCTAGAGATGGAATTGGGTTCGGCTAAGCAAGAGGGGTTCACTGCTGATTCTTTAGCTGAAAATGATGCTACTCGGCCAAAGAAACGACAGCTCGTAGTGTTAGGAATCATGACAGTATTCAACCATAAGAATAACCGTGATGCAGTTCGAAAAGCTTGGATGGGAAGTGGTATGGTGCCGACATACTATTCTGCTTCTGTTTCTTCACCCTTGAAAATGAATGTTGAGCCCTTTAGATTCAGTATTCTGGAATATGGTCAATGTGCTTTTAGTTGAATGGATGACTGAGAATTCAATTCAGGTGCAACTTTGAAGAAAATGGAGATGGACAAAGGTATAACCGCACGGTTTGTAATTGGACGAAGGTATCTTGTGTTTGTTTGTGTGTTTTGCCTCATGTTTCTGATGCAGATGGAACTTCGCCAAGGTGATCATCTTGTTCTTCTCTCTTGCAGTGCAAAGCGTGGAGACACCCTGGACAGAACCATCGACAGTGAAAATAAGCAGACTGATGACTTCATAATTCTTGTAAGTTCATCATCATTGGTATTAGTTTCTACATTCACTACTAATTTTCTTACTTTTCTTGGGTGATCTGATATTGGAAGCTTTTGCTTACTCCGCCTGTGCATCTATTTTTTCCTGCTTGTCTTATTCATCTGCCACAGGATGATCATGTGGAGTCTACTGATGGACTATCGAAGAAGGCTAAATTGTTTTTCGCCCATGCTATACATAAATGGGATGCAGAGTATTACGGAAAAGTGAATGACAATATCTATGTCAATATTGGTAAGTTGTTAAGTTGTGACTTTGCATGTCTTCAACCACATAGATACAACCAAACCCTTGGTGATTATTGATGGTCTTAAAATCAAACTTCTTTTATTCAACCACAGATGCGCTGGGAGCTACTTTAGCAACCTATTTGAACAAACCCCGTGCCTACATTGGTTGCATGAAATCCGGTGAAGTTTTCTCTGAACGGTGAGTGCCTCAACAAAATTACTTGGGAAGTTCCAAGTCGTCTTTGGATTGATCGTTCATTTCTAAGCCTTGGATTATTGGCAGGAATCACAAATGGTATGAACCAGATTGGTGGAAATTTGGCGATAGGAAATCGTAAGTTCTTTTCATCTGTTACTGTAATCCCCATTTTTTTTAATCTTGAAATCAGTAATCAATAGTCAATTGTCCTAACAGGTACTTCCGCCATGCTTCTGGTGAGATGTATGTCATGTCACGAGCTCTGGCTAAGTTCATATCCATCAACAGGTGAGCTTATATACCTCACATTCCTAGTTACCATCAACCTTCAGCTTCCTATGGTCCCATGCCCCTGAGAGCTTAATGTTTGAACGAGCAGATCTGTCCTCCGCTCTTATGCGCATGATGATGTCAGTACCGGATCCTGGTTTATTGGGCTTGATGTCCAGCATGTTGATGAAGCGAAGTTCTGCTGCTCATCTTGGTCTTCAGGTCTCTCTCTCTCTCGTCTCTGACAGAACTCTCGATGATTTTGTTTGGCTTGGCTTCTGAATGAGCTACTGAATTCAAATTGCGGTGTTTTCAGGAGCTATTTGTGCAGGAGTCTAATTCAAGCTTATTTCGAGTACATAGAAGCAGATGGAAGAAGAAACAGTAAAACAACTATGATACTGACAGATGACTGGTCTTCAATACAGTTGCTTTACCCTTTGAAGTTATGGTGATTTCATACCCCAAGTTTGACCTCGCCTATCGATATATATACAGACTTCGAAATCGAAAAGTGAGATAGCAGCGTCGAGAGCGTGTTGTATTTTCCTCGTTGAACTGCTTTGAGTGACCTATAGTTGTTAGATGTTGCTGTAGTTCTTTGATTGTATGACACAGATTATAAGTTAGCAACAAACTTCGATATTGTGTTGGCTATCAAAGCTAAGAGTGATCTATAGTTGTAAGGTGTTGGTTGATGTAGTTCATTAAATCCATACCCTTCCCGTCTTTGTGTAGTGAAGGTTTGCATCCCCATTCCTACAGTTTTCTAATGTCATTTTGATGATCTTTAATGCAAGAAAACATGTGAATTGAACTTCCCATAACATCAAACCAAGATGAACATATTTAAGACGATGCAGTCATTCAAAAACTAAAATCCAAATCATTATCAATTTGTTTTAACAATGGGTCGTCATATCATACGCATTTCTACAAGATAAAATGTACAAATAATTGATTGTCACAGATTAGTAGCCACACTATGTTTATTTACTGGCTAAAATAGTATCAATTTCTCCAAAATCTTTTATTTGGAAACATGAAGTTAGATTCTCACTACTATCAATTATTTTCTTCATGCCTATAATGACTAATAATCTTTCGTGCGCTCTAAATAAATGTACTTGTCATTAAATTTATGAGAAAAACCATGAGCCAAGACTTCAAAATCAAACTTTTCATGTCAATGCTTAGGTGTTTGCTTTAGACCATACAAAGACTTCAACAACATACACATCTTTCTTTCATTTCCAAGTTCCAACCAACACGAACCTTTCTGATTGCTCAATGTACACGTCTTCATATAAGTCATCATTTAAAAATGTCATCCTAACATCCCATTTGGTGTACAACTTCCGGGCGGTTTGGATTGCACGCTCTTTCAATCAGAGATCCCTACTGTTTTGAATGTGTTGGATTCTTTCTTTTCCTAATGTATCCCGACTTTTGGCTTGAGGAGTAAAAGTAACAAAGATTTACCACTGTAAAAAAAAAAAAACATCCATTTGGTGTACAAACATCTCAAGTCTCAACCAAGATTATTAATCCGCAGGAGTACCGTCCCTAACCCGGTGCTCTAACCGGCCGATAACACCCACTGGACAATCAGCCCATACCAGGTCAAACCCGGGAAAACCGGACGGTAACCGATCACCGGGCTGAAAAGCGCGGTTTGATTGAAGAGAATCGCACGCCTCTTTGTTCCAATTTCCCAATTCCGAAGCCCTATTCTGGTTCATCTTCTCCCACAAACAGAGGTTGCCGCGGCGGTCGAGAGTCGACATCACCAGCTAGCCTCGTCGGCGTCAGTCGTCTCGCGCACTTCTCTCTGCCGCCTTTCCCCAGCTTACATAGAGCCAAACCTTAAAAACCTCGCTTATGGAAAGTAAAGGGCGGAGAAGTTCTAAACTGGAATGTCTGTAGCGCAACGGCGGCGGGAGTGACCGCAGTGAGCTCAGTAGCCAGCGCCGCCGTCTTCTATGAATTGAAACGCAGAAAAACACAGAGCTGACAGAAAGTCGAAGAGGCATCAGGGCAGAAAACTAAACCGGCCTGCCCCCAACCTAATGCCAAAGAGAATTCAGACGCTCTACTGAACACATAAACAGCATGCATAGACATCTGTAAGTTCTGTTACTCAGATTTTCGTCAGAGTCCCGTCTGGAGGCATTACCTTATTTAGTTTCTGACTTCCCCTTATTCTTTTGGATGCAGAGGCAAAATTCCCTTCTGGTCATTTGCAAACTCCGTTTGTAGATTGAAATCCCAAGTTCATGTGAGTTCTCCGTTACTATTCCGTTCCTTGTTCAGAATCATTAGCGAGTTCTGAGTGATAAAGTTTCAGAGTTCTGCTACAAGAGAATGCTAATGTAGATTTTGGGATTGCTTACTCCATTCGTGGCTCATTTCTTTTTTAGCCGGTTGCTAAATGTCAGGGACGAACACAACAATCTATTCACCAGTCGTGGTTCCCTCGTGCTTTCACCACTTCATTTGGTAGGCTGTTTGTATGCAGCACTCTAATTTATTTGGTTCATTGCATTTCTTGCAGTTTGTTGTTGATCTTATTTGTTATTAACAGCTTTAGGTCATAGGCTATATGAAGGGTATTCTTTTTACAGTATGTATTCTGGTTGTTAGAATCTCAGTAGCCACTGCTTCAGGTATAAGCATCGTGCGATGATTCGATATCCATTTCATCATTAGCATACACTCAACGTTCTTATACAAATTGCTTCTCTTGAGGAGGGTTTTGACTACCATTCTTTCTTTATACAAATAAGTGTCATATCCCTTCATATGCATGGATTGTACTGTCTGTTTGGGTACTGGACCAATGTGACTGTCAATTTGACAATGGTTTCCTTTGTGTTTTACTATTACTGCCTTTATCAATAGTTTGAGACTCTGATAGGAATATGGTTATTTTCCTGACAGTCTTATAGTCTCAGATGCAGATTATGATTTTTCGGGTGAAGGATTAAAAGTAAGGGAGCCCTTGCAGCAGCGAATAGTTGATTCACTTCACTCGGGAAAAAGAGACGAGGCATCGAACTTTCTTGTCGACCTGGGCAATGCGAACTTTTCTTTGGGTGTCAATGAATTCATTGATATTCTTAAATATTGTGCACAGTCACCTGATCCTCTGGTAGGTAAATCAATAAGAAAATTCAGTCATCTGGATATCAGAAATGATGAACCCGATTCTCTCTTTCAGATTTAACGTGATTGGACCGGAACTTCAGATCTAGCTTTTTATGCTCTGGTTTCTTAAGAGATCAATATACTATAGATTTTAAGAGATCAATATACTATAGATTTTGTTGGCATATCGCAACTGTTTAGCCTATTAGCATGGAGTTATTGTATGGAAAGTGTCTGGTCCTATAGGTATGACTTGGTGAAAAACTTTAGTAGCTCTTTCTGGCACACACATTTTGGCATTGTCAATGCTTGATTAATGAATCAGATTCAGGATTCAAGCAGAGGAAAGTTTTGTTTTCTCACTTCTACGTTATGTGCTATGTTGAGTGGTCCTTGTTATAGTAAGCTGGGTGAGCAACTTATCCACCTCTTCTAGTATTTGTTCTCTTGCCGCAGTTTGCCATGGAGACTTGGGCAGTCATGGAGAAAAATAATGTGACCCCAAACCATAGGTGCTATATCCATATGGTGCAAGCGCTTTGTAGTGGAGGCTATCTAAAGGAGGTAGATGCCGATAACTTTATTCCACAAAGCATTTTCCGTGGCCAGTGCTTTTGTTCATTTTCTATTGACTTTCTTTGGATAGATGCATGGAAAGGGAAGATTTAACTCACTAACAGGTGGATGATAGGAGATATATCACTCAAGTATAGACTTCAGAATGAACAAAACTGTGATCCTTTTTCTCACAATGTCTGATCTTTTTGGCCTGGTCAACTAGTTTTTCCTTATCTGTGGTTTTGTTTACAGGTCATAGTAGCAAAAGAGTATTTTATTTTTCAACTGCTGCCAATTATATGGATGTTAGATACAGAAACGAATGTTATTGGTGGTCAACCATATCAAGAAATTCAGTTAGATCGCTGTGCTGTACATATGCGTCAATAGTATATGTGGAACTAGATTTTGTAGCAAATAATTAGGATTTTGCCTGCTAGAGTTCCCAGCTTGCTCTTTTTCAGACAGGTAAGATGTGTTCCCTATTCTCGGTTTCAACTTGGTTATAGACTACACCACATTGCGTTGTTGGCCAAGCTCATGGATGTTTATGGAAGTAATTATAAACCTGTCGGTTAAGTCTAATGCTCTGCAATTTGAACTGCATTGTAAGAGATTACGTGATAGGGAGCCCAACATTAGGTTTTTGATATGCTGGTTGCCTACTGGCTAAGTTCATCTTGTTCTTCCTGTTTTTCACCCAACTAAGTTATTAACACTGCCTTCCTACCATTTTTGTGGATATTCTCTTTTTCCTCTTCATTTTGGATCATTGGATTTGTACGCTCCAAATGAGGTTCTAAACCCTGGCCATTGGCATCTGGTTTCGGTTGTCCTAACTTCCTGTGATATTTCTTTTCCTTTTACTTTGTTCAGGCATCTAACTTGATCGCTTATGCTGGAGAGTGTAATGATGTCTACCCTGTTTTGACATTGTATAATGTGCTGCTAAGAGCCTGCTCTAAAATGCAAGATTTAGTGCACGTTAATGTCTGCTTAGATTTGATGGAACGTAGAATGGTGGGGAAGAATGAGACTACATATTTGGAACTTCTGGAGGTTTGTAAAAGTATTAGCTCCTTTTGATGCTTTTTTATCTTGTTGCTGAATTAGCATTTTTGTGAGGCATTTGCTATCATTCTCATAGTCTTATCTTCAGCTTGCAGTTTGGCAGAAAAATATGTATGCAGTCCATGAGATCTGGAATAATTATATAAGACATTATACTCCTAGTATAGTGGCTTTGCGGAAACTCATTTGGTCCTTCGGAAGTTTGGGAGAAACACAGTCTGCCTGCAAAGCATTGCAGTACATGGTGAATGTGGCCTTTGTAGGATGGAATAAGGTGATCAGCTCTGGTGAAGAAAGCAACATATGGAGAGGCAATTGCAAAGGACGCTATTCTTCAAGATTGGACATTCCTGTCCCTTACAATTGTGACCTGGTTTCACTGGACTTTGACTTCAAGCAAAATAAGCAGTTGATTCCTCTATCATCGGATAATGGCAGTGCTTTTGGTAATGAAAGAGTTACGAGTAATGGGTTCGTCATAGATCAGGATGCCCCTGAAATGAAAATCCTGAAGTCCTCTTTTGATGAGCTCATTAATGTCTGTGCTAAGACTCGAAATAGTGGATTGGCGAAGCAGTTAATGTTGCAGGTACACAATCAACTGGTGTCATATGCATAGTTTCATTTTGTCCCCCCATTGTACTTCTGGTTTTACGGCCATAATACCAAATTGTTCAGTGTGAGCTTGTAGGATTTAAATGTACTCGAACAAATATCGATACTAGTCATAGTTTCCTTTTGCTTTTTCTAAAGTCAAGGAGCCAATTGAATATCCTGGAATAGAAGTGATGTTCCCTTGATGAATAAGTACAAGCTTTTGTTTTTTAAAATCGGATGAATTAGTTTGGTAAAAGTTTATTTCGATGTAGTACCATAGTAGAAGACTGTACGCAAAGAAATCTTGGGATCGTCTTCACGTAGCATGCGTGGCTTCTTGCAATGTGTTGTTCACTTTCTTGATGTGCATCTCTTGGGGTTATCGGAACTTTTTGTGATGGAACTGGCCGTCTGGATACTGTAAGCAAAAAGAGGGAAAATGTGTCATGAAAGATCAAATGAGACGGCCTTTTTAGGATTCTATTGTCATGTCTTTTTCCCATCTTTCTGTATTGTGGTTCTCGTGTTCATTCTCCATCAACTTTATTTAAATAATGGGCATCATTAGTGTTTTTGGTACATTGGTGTTGTGATTCTCCTCTTCTATATGTTGTCTTCAGCTGTGCTTTCTGTCTTTTTATCTAGATGCAAAAGATAGGGATACAACCTTCAAGTCGTGCGTATGATGGATTTGTTAGAGCACTTGTTCATGGGGAAGGATTGACCGAGGGCATGAATATGGTAAAAATATACAGCATATCCTTCTGTAATGAAACTTGTACTAGTTTTACTGGTTGACTTGGCATTCATGACTTCTGAATAATGGCTGTGATGTATGCACAGTTAAAGCTAATGCAACAGAGGAATTTGAAGGCACACGACTCGACTCTTGCGACTCTCTCAATTGCCTGCAGCAAAAATTTTGAACTCGACCTGGCAGAGGATTTGCTGAATGAACTTTCTGCTTCTCCATATCCTTATCCTTGTAATGAATTTCTCCAAGCCTGCGATAGATTGGTGAGTCAATGTGCATTGCCATGATACTTGATCGTTTGTTTTCTCCTCTTCACACAACTTGAAGGTTTAACGTCTAGTTACATGTTAATAATTCTTATTTACCAGTACATATTCTGATGTTGCAGAATCAACCTGAGCGTGCATTGCGGATGCTGGCTAAGATGAAAAAGTTAAACCTTAAGCCTGATATCCGGACATATGAACTGCTCATTTCCTTGTTTGGAAATGCGAATGCTCCATATGAAGATGGGAACTTGTGGTCACAGATGGGCTGTTTTAAAAGAATAGAAGCTATAGAGAAGGATATGGCTAAAAATTGTGTGGAGCACAGTCATACTTCAATTAGAAACCTGGTAACTACTGGGGCTGATGTATTTTCTGCTATTACCCAGATATTATACCCTTGCTAGATCTGACTGCTCCCATATACCTCTAAGCTTGACTGCTAGAAGTTATTGCCCTTACTAGGAGATGAAGAATTGCATTGTTTTGTGCTATGAAATTAACTAGAGTGCAAATGTATGGATTTTTTCTTATCTAGTTCTCTTTATTATAAACTGAATCTGAAATTAACAACTGGGTCTAGTGATGCTGCAAAAACATGTAGCGCGATGAACTCTTTGGGAGGGAAAGGGGCACCTGTAGGTTACTTATTTCTGCGCGGACATCTGATAACTAACAATGTTGTCGTTTTGTGCGGTTTGTGTTTCTAGTAAGTGGAGGTTAGTCAAAATTAAAGAAAACTTGTCACTATTAGTAGATGCTTGTTTTCTGTGTTTCTGCTTGTCAGTTGTCACATAGAGATGATGGTATATATATGCAGTAGTTCTTCTGAAACTGAATATACTTGACGGTTTAGGGAGTGACGGAGAAGTGATCTTCTCTTATTTCCTATGTACTTTTGAGAACAAACTCTGCGCTTGTGCAAAATTGAGAACTTGAAAGTTTTTTGGAGCATCTTTTGTTGATATTTTGTGTTGTTGTTCTCAGCTGAAAGCACTTGGGGCAGAAGGGATGATTGATGAACTAGTTCAACGTTTACGTTCTGCGGAAGACCTTTTTTTTCGTAACAATATTTATTTGGGTACCCCAGTCTACAATACGGCCCTACATTCATTGGTCAAAGCTAAGAATGTGCGTAATTTCTTTCAGCCATCAATTTTCTCTCTTGATGGAGTTGGTGGTGTCAATGTAACCCAGTTAGTTTCTCTTTGTTTCTGCTGCTAATTCCTTCCTGCCTGCTGACCTTTTATTATTTTGCACGGCATGCAGATCCATTTGGCGATGGAAATATTCAAAAATATGAGGTTGAGTGGTGTCGACCCGGATGCTGAAACTTACAATATAATGATTGACTGTTCCAGTGTTAGTCAGTGTTTCAAGTCTGCTTTATCAGTGCTCTGCTTGATGTTGCGAGTTGGGTTTGATCCTGTAGCTACTACCTACACAGTACTCATGAAGGTAAACTGTGTTTCTGCTATCTAAAACTTGTTTATATTGCAAAGTCTGTCATCTGGAATGCAAGCAGAGAACTGCTTACTGATAAGGGAAACATAAGTTGACTCTGTACTTTTTTGTAAGTTAGGTGGAGTTGTACATGTCATATTCAATTCCTAATAAAAGAAGTTTGTGAGATGATGTATCATATCCTCTTTGTTTTTCCAATTTCCACCAAATTTCCAGTTTACATAATCATTGCACTTGTTGTCTTCCTGTTTTAGCTGGTAAAACCTAAAAAATAGGGTTGTAAAGATAACTAGTTGTTAAGATACAGAAAATGTTCGTGGAGATGTTATCTGATCGGGGACTTGGGACTTGTATATGGATCAGGGGCCTAGCTTACTGGAGTCGGCTTGGTCAAGATTTCTAATCTAGTTGCTCTTGCATGCTTTACAGATTCTAATGGATAATGAGGATTTTGATGAAGCTTTGATTCTTTTGGATCGCATGGGGCTAGAAGGAATTTCAGTTGATGTACTGTTGTACAACACAGTTCTGGATAACGCATTCGCCAAGGTATAGCTTGTCTGATCCTCGTTGTCCCTCTGTTCAGTTTACAAACATGCTTGAACGTTGAGAAATGATTGTTATGGATATGACTTTTATGAGTATCTTTATTTCAAAATGGCAAAGGTGGAAATAAATTATTAGTCAGATGACTTTTTATTTTTGGGAGAATTGTTGTTTTAAAACGTTTGATTGGAAATTATATTTTTTTTATTGTTTTCAAAACAAACACAACCTTTTTGTCCTCACGAGTAATGTTCATTTTATTGAATCCCAGGGCAGAGTCGACATTACTGAATATGTGGTTGAGCATATGCGAAGAAACAGAGTCCAACCAGATCCATCTACCTGTGCCGCTGTGTTCTCCACATACGTGAGACGTCAGTTTAATGACACAGCATTGCAAGCATTGACAGTGCTAAGCATGCGGATGATGCTCCGTCAAGAAGACGCCGTGCTCGAAGAATTGAAGGCAAAGTTCGCCGATTTGGTCCTTTCTGAAGCCTCAGAACCCGAGTCGGAAATACTCGAGCATTTCACAACTTCGGATGAGGACATCCTCACTGTTGCCCTCTTGAATCTACGATGGTGTGCGATCCTCGGTTCCCCGATTTCTTGGTCACCCGACGAGACCCCATGGGCAAGAAGGCTTGCCGCTGACTACGATACCAGAAGGATGCTTGTTTGACCGATTCGAAGCCACAATTTTTCTTCTTGACAGATAATAAAGCCGACCAAGTTCCAATGCTCTGCACTGTAATTGCAATTTTTGTCAGCCATATTAGAAGGGTAAGTTGAGAGTGCTAGCAAAAGAGTGCACTTACTGCTGACTAGTGTTTGTTTCTCCGCAGGCTGTTAGGAATTCAAAAGAGTGCCAAATGACATGTTTAGGTTTTTTTCCATCTGATAATTTTGTTTATTCTTCATGTTTTTTTTTTATAAGGAGCAACAGAGCAAGAATTTTTCTGGTGGTACTACGCGGATTGAAGAACAAAGGATCATCGAAATAGGCTCGACAATACGTCTAACAAGTTGTCAAAGCATCGTCCCAGATTAAGGATTTTGCAGTACGCAGGGTTGTATTCACAACCATGATATATCCACCAACAACCTTTCACGTTGTTTCCTCCAAGATCGTCGCGGCCCTTTTCCCAGTTTCCGAACCCTTAAACAACGAAGTCTATTTACACCTTTTAATTCGATTATGTGCAAAGCATCTTGTGAGACTGAAATATCCCACTGTGGGCTCTCGGCAAAATCAGAAACATCAATACAAGCAGCAGGTATATCGACGCGGAAACGATTCAACACAGCAAGCATTGGATTCAACTCAGTATCTCGCAATTTAGCGGGAGACAAACAGATGGATTGAAGGAAGGAAGAGGAAGGTTATAAAGGTGTAATGGAAGGGCTTGGCAATGGCACACTACAACAGAGGGAGAAGCTAGTAGGGAGCGACGAGATGGAAAGCCCTAACTCCTCTGTTTCAATTCCCCTCATTTTCCTAATCTGATTAGGAATAGACCTTTCTACGCAAATGTATAGGTTTTTTTTTTTTTTTTTTTTGCTTCAAGGGAGGCCAGCAGCCAAAAAGGAGAGGTTACAGAGGGCTATAAAGAAAGAGATTGAGCAGGAGCCACAATACTCCGCTCAAAACTAACACCCGAAATGTCATCCCTAATAATCGAAACTAGCCCGGATGGTGAATTACTCAACTCATACACACCGTAGGGATAGACGAGATTGTGCTTCGAGAGTCAGTCCGCGACTCTATTCCCTTCTCTGTATGTATGAGTTTAGCTTACCAGCCAATCCCGGCTTAGCTTCCTGCAAATTGCTGCCAACAGAGTGGAATGCGGACGAAGCGGGTCGTGGTGGTGCTTGAGAAGTTGCAACACCAATTTCGAATCAGTCTGAATCACCAGGACTCGATACCCAGCCTTCCAAGCCAGATCAATTCCATGGAAGAGCGCCCACAGTTCTACTAAAGCTGTCGTCGCATGCCCAATGTTCGCCACAAACCCCCCAAGCCAGAGCCCATTAGAATCTCGTAATAATCCTCCAGCACCTGCAAGACCGGGGTTCCCATTTGATGCGCCATCGACGTTGAGAGCCACCCAACCGGTCTGAGGGGCGTGCCAGCTGACTTCGGCCGAAACTCGCTGAGGCCGAGGCTTCCTCATCATCGTCTGCTCTGACTTTGCAGACCATGCCTGATGCCACACTCTAGCTTTCGCCATGATGGAGTGGGCTAGAGAGGGTGATGTGAGAGCGGCACTGGCGCCTTGAAACACCGCTGTCGATCTGTTTTTCCACAGGAGCCATACTGCCATGCTAAAGAAGGCTGCCCAGGGCATACCAGCCACATCACTACTCGTGTCCTCCAAGTTCTTCCGCAGCCACGTCTCTTGATTGTTGCTGAAGAACTGACTTTGTCTCTGCGCAGGAACAATCCTGGTCCAAAAGAACATTGCCGGGGGGCAGTCCCGCAAGACGTGGAGTATGGTCTCCACCTGGTTTTGGCATCTGGTGCAACAGGGGTAGTTCGCAATTTTCCTGTAACAAAGGAGATCATTAGTCGCAATTTTCCCCAGGAAAACCAGCCACATAAAGCTACATATCCTCTCCGGAACGGGTAGCTTCCAAATAATCTTCCAGAATTTTTGATCTTGGTCCTGCTGGGTCGAGTTTAGAAGCTTGTAGGCCGACTTCGCCGTGAACTTCCCATCGGAGGAGGCCGTCCAGAAAATAGCATCTTCCTCTGTGGACAAACTATCCACCGCCACGCTTGTTATCCTCTGCTGCACCTAGTAGGGAAGAATGTCCTCGAACAACTCCATTTTCCATAGTCCTTTAGTAGTCAAGAAATCCGCAACAACTGCATCTTCAAGCCCCTCTGGGATCGGATTGACCACCACCTCCTTAAGCGGACCTGCAAAACCCAGATGTCCGACCAAAACTTAGCATGTCTCACATTCTTAATATTCCACGAAATACCCTTACGAAGAAGGTTATTAGCTTTTACAAAGCTGCTCCAGGTAAAGGAGCTTCCCTAAACTGGCCTGAGGAGATCCAAGTCCGTCTTGTTCCGCTCGTACTTTGCTCGCATCACTTTGGCCCACAGACTCTCTTTATCTTTGAGGAGGCACCACCCGTTCTTAGCCAGCATCGACAAATTAGCTTGCCTCAGTGAGCGCAGTCCAGCCCCACCTTGATCTCTAGGGAGAATCATCTTCTCCCATGCCACGAGATGAAGTTTGGACTTGTTGTCGTCATCTCCCCATATGAAGTCACGGTTGATCCTATCAATGCTTTTGCAAACTGCAGCAGGAAGAAATTCAGTGTTCATATGGTAAGTAGGTAAGGCCGAAGAGACTGAGCGAACCACCGTGAGGCGAGCCGCGAAGGACAGACGCTTGGCCTTCCACGGTGCCAGTTTCTTCTTGATCTAAAGGAGGAGGTGTTGATAGCGACTCTTGGTCACCCGGTCATGAATCGCATGCACCCCCAAGTACTTCCCCAACTCATTGCTAAGAGGTATGTCCGCCCTCTGACTTAGCCTCCTTGCTCTTTGCTTGGGGATATTGGGGGAAACATACATCGGGGATTTGCTGAAGTTGATCTTTTGCCCAGAGCTGTAGCAAAATTCCTCCAGACATGACTTTATCACCCCAATCTGTCTCGACCTCGGCAAAAAGAAGCAAATCATCTGCAAAAAAGAGATGCGTCAGTGGTGGGCCAGCTCCGACAAGCTTAACCGCTTTCCATTGGCCATCCTCAACCGCCTTACCAATAATATGAGAAAGTCTTTCCATGCACAGAACAAAAAGATAAGGAGAGAGAGGATCTCCCTGACGAACTCCCCTAGACGGCGTGATGGGATGAGAAAGTTTCTCGTTCCAAAGGATGCACATCCTGTTCTGCTCCACACAGTACATAATGCATTTAATCCACGAAATAGGAAGGCCAATCTCGTTCAGAGTGTCTCTTAGAAAGTCCCACCGGAGCATGTCATAAGCCTTCTCAAGGTCAATCTTCATAACTATGCCACCTTTCTTTCCTTTCTTCTTCCTGAAGGAGTGCATAACTTCCTGAACTATAATGATGTTGTCCGTGGTTTGCCTTCCCGAGATGAAGCTACTATGCCTGGGAGAGATCAACTTCCTCATGACCGGCTTGAGGCGATTTGCCATGGCCTTGGTAATTGCCTTCAAGCTGACGTTGTTGAGAGAGATCGGTCGCAGATGTGAGACAAACTCGGGGCTATCGACTTTAGGAATCAGCACCACCGTCGACTTTGAGACAGACTGCGGGAGAGGATCTGAAGCAAAAAAAGAGAGGGCCATGTTAGCCAGATTTTTGCCGACCACTTTCCAGGTTTGCTGGTAGAATCCCGCCTAATAGCCGTCTGGACCGGGAGCTTGTAACGTCTTCATCTCGAAAATGGCTCGATAGATGTCCATTATAGTGAAAGGCCGGAGGAGGCTCTGCAGATCAGAATGAACCAGGCGCGGAAATGCTTGCTTAGGCAGTCGGTCCTCATAAACAGAATCATCCTGCAAATAAAGATTAGACAGAGAATTAAACACAAGAGCTTCCAGGGCTTGAGGATCTTCTATCCAGCTTCCATTTTTGTCTCGCAGAGCTTTAATCCTATTCCGCCGCTTTCTGATGTTCACTTGATATGAAAGTAGGCAGTATTTCTTTCTCCAAACTTCACCCATTTCTCTCGAGCTCTCTGAAACCAGATAAGCTCCTCCTGCTCCAACACTTTATCCAGCTCAGCTTCTATCTTAGAATGAAGTTTGGCAAGTCCTGGACTAAAGGTATTGGCAAGCCTGTCCTCCACCCCTTTGAGCCGGGCCACAAGCCGCCTCTTCCGCTGCTGCACGTTCCCAAAGACCCTGACATTCCAATCCCTACGTTTTTCAGCGAGATTGGTGAGAGCCTGAGGCAGAACCTCACTGTCTTTCCAATTGCCTGCAACAACATTCATGAAGTTAGCATGAGTTAACCAAGCAGCTTCGAATTTAAAAGGAGAAGGGGTATAGGAAGAGTGCCCCTGGTTGGCAATCGTCGTAAGAATAGGATTGTGGTATGAGTGGAGACGGGGGAGATGGAGAACCGACGAATTTGGGAAGGTCGAATTCCAGAGAAGGTTGCAGAGGCTTCTGTCCAGACGGCTCGCCTTGTAGCTAGTTTGTTGTTCTCCCCTGGTCCAGGTAAAACAAGGACCAGAGAAGCCCAAATCCACTATCTCGGCAAGGTTAATCCTCTCATTGAAGAGGTTGCATCTACGGAAAGTAGCTGCTGAAACCGTACCAGTCTTCTCTTCCACTGACCGAATAGCATTGAAGTCCCCGGTCAGCAGCCACGAGAGGTTTATTGATTTGCTTTGGTGGATGAGGTGATCCCATAAACTCTTCCGAAGACCTTGGCGCGGTGACGCATAGATAGCTGACAGCTCACACATCTTGTCGTTACCCTACGAGACATAGTCCGAAATGTGCTGCTCGCAAGCTGACAACAGCTCCACCGTGAACCGATTCTCATCCCAGAAAAGCCAGACATCTCCCTTCCGGCCATCCGCTTCGACTGTAAGCGTATTGGAATACCCCAGCCTGTCACAAACTTTGTTGGCCGAGATTTCGTTTCCTTTGGGCCCAAGATATAACATTGTTTTCCCAAGTTTTTGTTTTTCTACCGTTGGAACTTGGAATGGGGTTAATCCGTATGTCCAGACGTCCAGGGTTTTAGAAGTGATTTTCTGTTTCAAAAGATGAAGTCGGGTCAAATATCTTTAAAAACTCGGTTTTTAAAAAGTCGAAAATTGCTTTTGTATAACATAAAAGTATAAGCTCCGACTTGGAGCTTCTGCGAAAAAACTGTTTTGAAATTACAAAATCATTCTTACCATATTTTAATTTTATTTCAGAAAATATAATTTTATTTCATTTAAATCATTTTAAAAATTAAATAAATTATAAAATCATACTATTTGATGTCAAAGACATCTAACAAGATCCATTTTGACTACTTTTTATTGTTTAGAATTATTTTATATTATAAATTCTTTTAAATAATTTTACATAACCTCTTATATTAAAAGACACTTCTTATAGTTTTTCCGCCAAACATCCAACTTTTTTTTTTTAAAGTGCTTCTCTAAAAATTTAAACTAGAAGCTGCTTCTGCAAAAGTTACAGTAGGGCCAAACTAACCCAATATCTTAGTCCAGCCTCAACTTTACACATAAAGAGTATCCTGGCCAAAAAATTTTTAGGCCTATCTGTAGCAAAACTATGAACAGTAAATAGCAATCTAAAGGCTCGTAGAGTTTCTGTCACTTTACCCTTATGTTTGTCATGAGTCAATTATATTTTTAAGTTCTAATTCCGTTAACTTTAACTGTTAATGGTCAATGATAAATCCGTTGACCAATGACATAGCACACGTGTCTAACAGATTTTGTCACATCCTTCATTTATTTTCTCCACCTCATTAATTAAAACATGCTTTTTCAAGAAACTATAAATAAAAATATAAGAAAAACCAAAACAAATGTATCTCCTCCGCTCTGCCTCCCTGCTCCCCTCGACTCCTCCATTTCCAACCCCAAATCAAATTCGATCTCTTCTTTCCAACTGTCATCTTCCTCGTTTTTCACCACAACCACCTTCATCCTCTCATAGTACCATCTCCTTCCTCTCCTCC